CTCAATAGCAGTTGATATTGTCCATCCGGGACATCAATATTAATTGGAGCACAGCTGGTATCACTCAACAGGGTCAGGAAATGCTTCTGGCATAACTTTTCAAATAAATTATCTTTTAACTTTTCGTGCACATCTTTAATGAGGACTAAGATAATTTTTATTCACTGATTTTCCAGGTGTTTATTTTCTTCTCTCCTTATAATTGTTAGAAAAACTGACTCATTGAAATGATAGGCTGTAAATCAAACCATATTAAGGAAGATTGATATCCAACAGTTCTTAACCTCCTTTGAGGTTCCATCTAAGATCAATGTGGTGGAGCAACATTATATCCAAAACTTTAAGATGGGAAATATCTGGCTCCTGACCAAAACTAATTTTGGGAAGATTATTTGTTGGCTTAATGCGAATTAATGTGCTTTCACTCTAATCAATTATCCAAATACTTTCGCAAAATATAATGGATGATCAGTCCAAAATATCTCTTGTATAAGTACCAGAAAATCAATAATTCCAAATTTATTGGAGAGTGAAAACCAAACACATAAAAATCTTCTGGATCTTATTCGCATTATTATTTAACTGGAATGGCTTAATAGTTATGCCAAAACAGTGAGATTTAGTAAACTTCTGGTTTACTTATCATGATCTATTCTAAATGATTCTTGCAAAAATCGATTCATATGAAAAAAATGCAAAATTAACCACAGATAATTCATGCATAAATACTACAAAGAAACAAAGCATAACAGTTTGTGCACTGATGAATATTAGTGGCAGATAATTCATATAGAAAATAAATAGAATTAATAACAGATAATTTATGCAAAACTGATAAATCATAAAAATAATTTCTTAATTCAATAAAATAATTTAATCATGTTTGATAAAACAAAGGAAACAATTAATATCATAGTGCAAAGATAAGAACTAAATAAAGCCAAAAAAAAAATGAATTCAAGAAAAACCAAAACAAAACCAACACCATATCTAAATCAAATTCCCTTCAGGGGCTTGGGAATCATCAGCATTCATTAGATCATCTTCATCATCGAACACGAAGTTTGTTTCAGCGTGCACTCTTTTTTGTTTAATTGACTCTTGATAAAGGTCAACAAGGCGCTTTGGTATGCGACAAGTACGAGACCAGTGATCTTTTCCTCCACAGCGATGACAAACATTTGTTATTTTTTTTTCTTTAATATTATCTTTCCTTTCCCAATTTTGCTGAGAGTATGATTTCTTGAAAGAAATACTTCGGCCTCGACCTCGACCTCGACCTCGACCAAAACCATATCCTCTTCCACGACCACTTCTACTTCCATGTCCACGTTGGTAATCACTTCCTTCATCATCATGAGATACCACATTTGCTTCAGGCAATGGAGCAGAACCAGTTGGACGTAATTGATGGGTTTTCATCAGTAGCTCATTGTTTTGCTCAGCCAGAAGGAGAGAAGATATAAGTTGAGAGTATTTCTTATATCCTTTTTCACGATATTGTGTCTGCAGGACAACATTGTTTGCGTGAAAGGTTGAGAATATCTTTTCCAGCATATCTGCATCTGTGACTTTCTCTCCACATAACTCCAATTTGGAAGTTATATTGAACATTTTTGAGTTATACTCACTCACTGACTTAAAGTCTTGTATTCTCAGATGTGTCCAATCATAGCGAGCTTTAGGTAATACCACATTTTTTAGGTGGTCAAACCTTATCCTTCAAGCTACTCCAAAGAACTTCTGGTTCTTTTATAGTCAAGTATTCATTCTTGATATCTACATGGAGATGATGGCGAAGGAAGATCATAGCCTTCGCTTTAATCTGTGTTGCAGCAGACAAGTAGATAAGACAGAACTCAAGTATCAATAGATCTAGATGCTCTGTTTTGTTGCTCAAAATTCTTTGTTGAACAGGGAGAATTCGAAGACTTCGATAAAGAGAAAGCTCTTTCTTAATAATGCAAAAACCAAGTCTCAAAATAAAAGATCCAACGCCTTATATAGGCTCGAACTATAGTACTTATCGATAAAAGGAAATAATACTAAAGTCAAAATAACCAAAGATTAGAATAGCTTGTAATCCAAGTAAAAGAGATAGAGATGTCGCTACATCAGGTCCCCCGAGGTAAGAAGAAAATTCGAGGTCGAATTTTCAACTCCATCTTCGGCCACAAAAGGAACAAGGTGTTTGACATTGAAAACATCAGCAGTGTTCATATGTGGTGGAAGTTGTAGATGATACACATTGTTGTTAATCTTCTCCACGATTGTGAGGGGACCTATCTTTCGAGACTTGAGCTTGTTATAAATACCGGGTTTGAAACGATCTTTAGTTAACACTGCCCAAAATAAGTCTCCGAACTGGAATTGGACATCACGCCTGCATGCATCAACATCAGACTTGTACTTTGCTATTGCAGCCTCTAAGTTCGAACGAACTTGCTCGTGAATAACAGCAAATTCATCAAAAAAGTCGCAAGCTCGACCATGAAATGAGTTCGATCAGGAGTGATAGCAAGAGCTGCAGGACACCGAGGCACGCTCCCGTAAACCACCTGAAAAGGACTAAAACCGGTACTACGGTTAACATCACGATTATGAGCAAATTCGCCCTGGCAAAGAATGGGATCCCATGTCTTGATGTTATCACCAACAAGACACCTCAACAAATGTCCCAGTGCTCGATTAGTGACTTCCGTTTGGCCATCCGTCTGTGGATGATAGGCCAAACTCATGTCCAACTTGGTCCAAAGGAGACGCCACAGTGATCTCCAAAAGTGACTCAAGAAGCAAGAATCCCTATCGGACACAATAGATAGCAGTAAACCATGAAGTTTGTAAACCTCCCGGAAGAATAAGATCACTACCTGAACTGCATCAGTAGTCTTCTTACAGGGGATAAAGTGTACCATCTTAGAAAAACGATCAACCACAACAAAGATGGAATCATTAGCCCTTTGCGTCCTTGGTAACCCAAGCACGAAATCCATACTTATATCTGTCCACGGTTGAGTAGGAATTAGCAGAGGCAAGTACAGGCCTGCGTTGTTGGCTTTGCCTTTAGCTGCTTGACAGATCCCACATCGTACGATAAAACGTTCCACATCACGTCTTAAAGTTGGCCAAAAATAAGAAGCACTTACCAATTTAAGCGTATGATCCCTTCCAATGTGACCTTCACCATGAAGTTCGCGAATCAACTGAAGTCGCAAACTACACTCAGGAATACACAACTACGAACCGCAAAACAAAAAGCTATAAAACATGAGATATGTCAATCCCAGACCTTGCTCGGCGTCACGCCAGATCTTCGCAAAGAAAGGATCCAGAGGATACAACTCTAAAGTGTATCAAAACCAGGAACAGAAGTATGCAAAGTAGTAAGCAAAGCATAGCGGCTATTCAAAGCGTCAGCAACCTTGTTAAGAGAGCCTGCCGTGTGCTTAATAACAAACGAAAATTGTTGCAAATAAGCAAACCAAGAGGTGTGACGCGCAGACACTTTATCCTGCGAACCCATATGCTTAAGAGCATCGTGATCGGTGTAGAGAACAAATTCACGATGAAACAGATAATGTCTCCAATGCTTCACGGCTTGGACGACAGCATACAGTTCAACATCATACGTACTGTATCGAGCACGAGAACCTGCAATTTTCTCACTGTAGAACGCAATGGGACGACCGGTTTGGCTAAGAACTGCTCTGATGCCTGTTTTGGAAGCATCAGAATGTAATTCAAACGCCATATCAAAATTGGGAAGAATCAAAACAGGTGCAGAGGTGAGTTTAGACTTGATCGTCTAAAACGCGAGATCAGCTTCAGAAGTCCAACAAAAAGAGGCGGATTTCATACAAGCAGTGATCGGGGCCATGATGCTGCTAAAATGATGTATGAATCGCCGGTAGAATGAAGCTAAGCCATGGAAGCTCCTAACATCAGTAACAGAACGAGGAGTTGGCCAGGAGTGTAATGCCGAAATCTTTGCAGGATCGACTTCCAAACCTCGTGCAGATATAATATAACCCAAGAAAAGAATCTGATCGGCACCAAAAACACAATTTTGTGTAGCTGCAAACAATTTTTCTCTTCGCCGCACCAGCAGTACATCACGGAGATGCTCCAAATGCTCAGTCAAAGAAGAACTAAAGAGAAGAATGTCGTCAAAATAGACAACAACAAACCGTCCAATAAATGGCCGCAGGGCTTCATTCATAACACGCATAAAAGTGCTCGGAGCATTCGACAGTCCAAAAGGCATCACCAGCCATTCAAACAACGCTTTGCGTGTTTTAAACGCTGTCTTCCATTCATCACCAGGACGAATTCGAATCTGATGATATCCACTACGAAGATCCGACTTGGTAAAAAGAGAAGCATATCCGATTTGGTCCAGAAGGTCATCAAGATGCGGAATCGGAAACCTGTACCAAATGGTAATCTTATTAATAGCTATGCTGTCAACACACATTCGCCAGGAGCCATCCTTCTTAGGGATGAGTACAGCCGGAACAGCACAAGGATTTAGGCTTTCACGCACATAACCATTGGCAAGGAGATCCTCAACTACCGTCCTCACTACCGTCATGTTCTCTTGGGCTCATACGGTAGTGAGGACGGTTTGGCAACACAGAATCTGGAGCCAAATCGATGCAATGCTGTATATCTCGCAGTGGTGGAAGTCCATCAGATAATTCGGTTGGAAAGACATCTGCAAATTCTTTCAAGAGGTCAAGAAAAGCCAATGGAACAGAAGGAAGCACCGACAATATCTGCGGTTTAAAACAGAGAAGAAAAACAACATCAATAGCTCTGCATTCATAAAAAATTTCAGATTTAGAAATGAAGAAAGCAGGCTTGCTCTTATCCACAAGAGTTGGCTCGATGTCCTCGCTTTTGACCGTCAAGTCTGTGGCAACCTGAGAAGGCATCAGAGTGATACGCCGACCTTCATAAGTGAAACTATGTGTATTGGCAAAACCATCATGCATAGTTTTTCAGTCATATTGCCACGGACACCCCAAGAGTATGTGACACGCATCCATCGGCAAGACATCGCAGCAGTTGAGATCTTTGTAGTTGAGGCCAATGGAAAACAGAACTCGACAGCGCTTGGAAATATGAATATCCGTCTTTGAATTGAGCCACGCGATCTTATCCGGAGAAGGATGAGGCTCGGTGAACAACGCAAGCTTCGCGACAGCCTCTTCAGAAATAGCATTCGTGCAGCTTCCAGAATCAATAACCAGACGACAGACCTTACCGCGAATCGTACAGGTCGATTGAAAAATGTTGGTACGAAGCCAAGATTCTTCAATGCCCTGAGGAATAAGGTAGTTGCAACGCAACATTAACAAAGGACCCACATCACCAACCACACATTCCTCTGAATCATCGATAACATCTTCATCATCACCATACTCATCAAACACAGTTTCATCTTTAGCTAAGAGACCACGATGATGTACTTGAGGGCAGGCAGATTGACGATGCCCCGTTTCTCCACACTTAAAGCACTTGAATGTGGCTGTTCGTTGTGAACTCGGGGCAAGAATACCCTCCGTATTGTCTGAAATTTTAACCGAGTCTAGCGATTTTGTCAGGCCAGATTCAGTTGCTGAGTTGAGGCGTGTACGTTGTGAATTCCAAGAAGAGGATTGGCCCCTCGCATGTTTCTCAATCAGAACAGCATGTTGATGCGCTTCTGATACCGATAAAGGATCAAATTTCAGGAGCGAACTCTGAATGGATTGTCGTAAACCACTGATGAAGCGAGAGAATCGCTGTTCTTCATTCTCGTTTAACGTATTCCGAGCCAACAAAGAGAAAAAATTCAGCAGCATAGTCATCAACCGAACGACTTCCCTGTCGCAAATTTTGCAGCTTCGTATACATAGTTCTCGTATAATTGTACGGGAAAAAAGCCTTCCGCATTAACTTCTTTAATTTTTCCCAAGACGAGACACGTTCCTTCCCTGCGCGAGCTCGTGATTCCTTCAACTGTTGCCACCACGCAGAAGCTCGTCCACGAAAATGCGTTGCAACAAGAGACACATGCATCGGATCAGGGACCTCCTTAAAGTCGAGCAGCTCTTCCGTTGTGTTGATCCAATCAAGAAATTCTTCAGGTTGATTTCCACCGGTGAATTCAGGCAAGTCAAGTTTGAAACCAGACTCCCATCTTCGATTATCTTCACGGGGCGCGGCAATAAGATCACGCCGGCGATGAATTCCCTGCTGGTTTTGTTCACCGTGTTGAACAAACTCATCAGCAAAGATGTTTTCGTCTTCGTCGTCTTCAGCATCGATGACAGGATCCCGTCGATTAGGAGCAGCGTTTTGTTGCGCTTGCACAAGTGTTCGCACCGCAGCTTCCATAGTAGCTTGCATCGAGTTACTCAAATTCTGTTGAAACTCCACCATTAAAGCCCTAAAAGCCTCGTTGTGATCCTCAAGGGTAGCTTGCAGACTCTTTTTAGGCGGCATCTTCAGGAAATCTTGGTCTCTGATTCAACTGTTGCAGCGGACAAGTAGACAAGACAAAACTCAAGTATCAATAGATCTAGATACTCTGTTTTGTTGTTCAAAATTCTTTGTTGAACAGGGAGAATTCAAAGACTTCGATAAAGAGAAAGCTCTTTCTTAATAATGAAAAAACCAAATCTCAAAATAAAAAATACAACGCCTTATATAGGCTTGAACTAAAGCCCTAATTGAAATTAAAAGTACTAAACGATAAAAGGAAATAATACTAAAGTCAAAATAACCAAAGATTAGAATAGCTTGTAATCCAAGTAAAAGAGATAGAGATGTCGCTACATCAGTTTGAGTGGTTGTTTATTTCCCTCTTTGATTGCATCACCGAGACCTTTAGAATCAAGGTACATCTCAACATCGATCAGCCAAGATAAATAATTCGCTACATCAGTTTGAGTGGTTGTTTATTTCCCTCTTTGATTGCATCATCAAGACGTTCAGAATCAAGGTACATCTCAACATCGACCAGCCAAGATAAATAATTATTTCCAGAGATGTCAAGGGCATCAAACTCAAGGTTGATAATGTTTGGTATAGTTTTCTGAAATAATAAAAGAATAATCAAGTTTCATGATAATTAACTAAGATGCAAGTATTATGAGCAAAGTTTATTTAAAAATATAAATTTAATGTATTAACACTTAAACATACACTAATTTATGAATAAAACAAATAACTCAAATCATATGACATTGATTAACATGATTTAATTTAATAAAAATCAAATTAATATTTAAAGTAGTACTCGATAAATTATAATATCCAACAAGCACAAAAACTTATGCAATAAAATATTTTGATTGTTATATTCCATCACCGTAATTAAAACATAAGAAATTAATCTGATTTTAATACTAGCTACAAAAGGTGAAGGTAGGTTACTAGTTTAATAAATTCTATAATGACAAAACCAATGCTTTTAACATATCAATTAAAGTAACGATTCTATTATAAACCCTAGCAATCTTTTATGTGCTATATTATATTAATTGGAAAAGTCGTAAGTCATCAACCTTATTATGCTACATCAAAGATCTTAGTTGGTTTCAAAAACATGATTGCTTAAAAAAAATCTCTGTTCTATGAATTTTAACAAAACTCCTTGAACAATAAGATCTAAACAGTAAAAGTCAATTATTCTAAATTTATGTTTTACCTTTAAAACAATATGAAGTTTCAATATGCGATGAAGGAATTTATATAATTTTATAACTGAATTGCCACATGTTCCATATAATTATGCATAATTAAATCAATAATAAGAAGTACTATGACGTGTGTTTATTGATTCATATGAGGTATGTATATAAACAAATAAAACGAAGCATCAATAAAAGTAAAGCACATAAACGTACATATAAATTATTTAATCATGTGATTTTAATCAAAACTCTAATTAATTTAGAAATTATTTTCTTTGTAAATCAAAATTTCTCAATCGATTATTCTTAATAAAAACTCTTTAAACAATAAAATATAAAGATCAAACAATCGATTATTCTAGATAAGTATCGATTACCATCCTTTATAAAATATAATTGGAGAAGACATAATCTACCATATGATTATAATCGAGAAGGCATAGCCTACCAATACAATTGATTTGAAAAAAAATGTATCACTTATCATTCCGGAATAATGTATGAATAATGATAGGTATTTATAGTATTATAAAGACTTGAGGAGAAAGCTAAAACTTAGAGAATAAAAAAATAGAGAATATTCTAAACTCTTTCTCATAATAGACTTCATAATGGACATCCACATATTTATTCATAACACAATAACACAATGTGTAATTTAGGTGTCAACTTTTTCGCAATACACAAAGTCAAAGAAATCTCTACTGTACAATCGATTATGTTGTATTCGAAAAGAAAATCATATGGTTTTAAATTAGCAGAGTTAAATTTACCAAAGTTTCCGGTGTGCTGTAGAATCGTTTGTCGTGGTCAAGGATAATTAATGTGTCAAAGATAAAACTGTCCAGCACAAACATGATGCTCATGTATAATCGTTTATCATGGATCCTTATAAGCAGGTAAAGGTGAAACTGTTTGACTTCACTCGTAATTGATCTCATTATTTATATTAAAAATAGTATTAGGATACTCAAGCCACGATTTTCCACATTTGGAAGCAAAGAAACAATGTCTTGCATAATCAACAGTCGATTCCTTTGGCGATCATCTTCAAGAATGTCAACTGCAAAATCCGCAACATCATTTCCTCGAGGAGACACCGCAAGCATTGCCAAAACTTCATGACACTCTGGATCCCGTAAACTAATCAAACTTTACCCAACTCTTTTACTGCCTTGTTTTTTATTTTATTTTTGCCAAGGCATCAAATGTAATAGGTTTTCTGCTCTTGTAAATCATAAACCTTCATTCTTAATAATATTTTACATTCTTAGCAAAAAAATGAACGAGGGATGAGCCATGTAAGATAACACTTCCTAAACAATACACTACCTTAACTCTACCTCTACTACTACTAGGAAGTGTTGTATATTTTGCTTCTTCCAACTCTTGGTCTTTCCAAGAATCGGTGTCAAAGTCATGGATTTTTTACGCATGGGTATATCCAGACTTTTCTCTGATTTTTTTTATTTACAACGTTTCTGGATTTTACATTTTTACAAAAATGTAACCTGTTAAATCCTCACATGAGATCTGTATTCTCCATTGTTTATTATTTATTTTATTTGATTTTTCCTTATTTTTATTTTTCTTTATAACAAAAACTCTTGATTAAGTTGATGCGGACGTAGTGAAGACCCGACGGGTCATGTGCTCCATACTGTTTTTTATTTTTATTTTTTAAATAATTTAGGTAACTTTCATTAACAAATTTTAGTTTAGTTATAAAAAAGAAAAAAATTATCACCAACTAATTTTTTTTTCTAGATTCGCCCCTTGATACGATCTTCCATAACAACAATGTAACTTAGTTGTCAAGAAAATTTAAGACAATAGTCACAATATACAGCTCTACAAATTGGGAACAAATGATAACATGAAGAACAAAATATATATAAAAACAAACTCTTCTGTGATCTTAGGTCTAAACAAAGAAACTTTAAGACTTATGCAAAAGCCTTAGTAATCACAAGTGAACGGTGACAAATTTATTCAAAATAATATTACTTCCAGATCGAAGTCAAACCACCAGAGTTTAACTCAGAATGTTAAACATTCATGGCGAATCAGGCAGAGTAAACATATACATTAAACACGATTTCAGAATATAAAGCAAGAACCAGGGCAACGAGCAAAGGACAACTTTTTCCATCAAGAATTCCACTCTCGACTGCAACTTAGCTTTAGACATAAACATATGTCTTCTCTATTCTCTGGTTCTTGTAAACTCTCTCTAAGATCGAATTACTAATCTAATTTACTTTGCTAAAATCTTCTCCAAAACGCTCTCAAATCTTGTTTGTTCAGATCGATCAACAAACTTACTGTTTATTCCTCGATATGCCCTTGGTTCTTCTTTTTGTTTTTAAGTTTTGCCCAAGATCCTTCTATTTTTACTATTTACAAATTTTGGCAATTGTATTATCAACTACATCAACGATATAAAAATTCATAAATCATATGTCATAATCCAAACTACAACCATGTGTCTGTGAGATGCATATGCAATTGCATTGATGCTTTAGTGTTTTATGTTAATGCAAAAAAAAAAAAAATAGCAGACAATAAATTAATATTACATGTTGTGGTTTTGAGTTTGGGAAATTACAGATTTTGACCCAAAGAACTTCTTAGTAATAAAGAAAAAAACATTTCACTCTAATATTTTTTACAAATTTCAGTTTACAAAAAAGATATTATACAATTTAAAATTGTTCATTTTTATATTTGTAATTACTTGTTACTTGGTGGAAACTCGTTAGTCCACTAGTCAACTAAAAATTAATTCATGCTTCTTTTTTTTTTTTGTCAATATCCTCTTCTCCTAGACCGAAATGGTTAACCAAGCCGGTGGAGATGAGTTTACATAAATCATGTTTCCTGGGCAGACTCTAGCACTGTGCTAATGTGTCCGCCATGGTATTCTTCACTCGTGGTATATGAACTAGTGTAAAACAGTGGAACTTCTCTCTGCATTTCTGGATTTCCTCCAGCTGTAATGCGAATGCTGGCCATTCCTTGGGTGCCGACAGCATCTTCACCACATCAGAACAGTCTGTTGCAAAAGCCACTTCTCTTCGCTGATTTTCGATCATGCAAAGCATTTCCCATAATAGTGCTTCTACTTGTGCATGTAAAGGAGATAAGCTTTGTCGTAAATTTCTTGCCCCCATTATTGTCTCATTGGTTTCCTCCCGCCTGTAGTACCAACCTATACCTAACATTTTATCCGTCTCTTTCCAAGAACCATCCACCGAGCACCATCCATTATTAAAGGAGGTTGTATGCATTGGCAGTCGATGACGTTGTATTTCCGTTACAGTTATCGAGTTTTGTGCTTCTTCCCATAAAAAGGTTTTTGTTTCCGCTAATTTAAGCGTCATTCGTGGATCTCTGTCCACATTTGAGAATAGTTTGTCATTTCTTGCCTTCCAGATGTACCATACTATCCATGGGTAAGATTCTTTAGAAATCTCTTTTGGTATATGCCAAAACAAATGATCAAAATTTGCGTAAATAGAACTTCCTGAAAAAACTCCGGGAGGTGTTGGAATTTGTGACCAATCTCTGCATTGCTGGTGGGCATTCGAATAAAACATGATTAATTGTTTCCTCATCTTCCCCACATCTGCTGCATTGAGAATCACATTTGATTCTTCTGTTGTTAAGGTTTTTTGCAACTGCCAGACAGCCTGTCAATGATTACCATAAAAAATATCTCACATCTCAGTTTCCATATTTTGCTAATAAGAGTCTGAAATCAGGTCCATAGAGGTTTTTTGTTTCTTCTTCTGAGTCTTGATGTTC